GCTCAAAAACACCCGAGGCTTCACCCGATAAATACACTTTTCTGGTCCTCTCTTGGGTCCCTCCTGCTGGTAGAGCCCAAGTCTGAGGCGGCTTCAGCCAGCTCACCCATAGTCCACCTCTTCTGGGCTTCTGATTAGTTCTTGATTGCCTCCAGCGTCCAACACCTTCCCTGTTCTCTGCCTGAGAGGACCAAAGCCTCCACTCTCGGCTGTCCTAGCTTCATAAAGAGATTTCATAAACACAACTCTCAATAAGCAGTAACAAATGAACTTACCCTTAGGCAATGTATCAGGCATGCAACAGGGACTTGGAGAAATCGGTGGGATAATTACGTGACTGAAGGATTCAGATTTATTACTGACACAGCCATGGGGCCAGGCAGCCCCGATAGCTTTAGCTCCTTCTCTATGGACAGAGGTGGGGTCAGGACACCGTCTCCCTGTGCTTCATAGCACTGACAACACCTTCTTCGTGAATCTTGTGGCCAAGCTTGATGGCCAGAGTTCATGGCTCCCTGATGGAAGGAGAGAATAAATTCCCTCAAGTTGTCTTCTGACTGCCACATGTGCACCATGATACATGTACCCACACATATACATACACATCACACACACAATAATAATAAATTATAAATAAAGTAAAATAAATCTCACCCCCACCAATCAGTGATTCCCATGAGGATGCATCAGCCCCCTTTACCGCTGACCCCCAAATGCCTCAATGCCTGGCACAGTGCTGGCTGTACCCCATGTTCACTCAGTAGTCGAGACCTGGGCTCAAAATATAGAAGTAAAAATGCATTCAATGAACATGTGAATCATGAGCAAATAGCTGTTTGCAAAGTGATTACTTTTAAGGATCTGCTCGGCTTTCTTTAAGTAGCTACTGGTCAGCTGCCCAGGACATTGTTTGTTCTTTGACGGCGGTAATGCTTTTCAACGATTTAAACTTAAAGCCACTATGAGTTCTGGAGATGAACCCCGCCTGCCTATTTACACTCTGTTCTTGCTTAGAAGGGTGATTAGGGTGCTACTGTAGACTCGCTTTCACACTTTATATATATATATGTATATAATGCTATATTACAGTGGCTATATAATATATAGTATATATAAATATATATTTCAGAGTCTGCAAATACCACATGACCACACGAATGGAGGGATTTTTTCCTGGTGTACTAGGACAAGCCTAAAGAAATGTTTCAAATTACTTACATTTTCAGATGATATTTGACTAATACATTTATTAGCATTTTAATAAGGCCTAAAAATTAGACAGTCCAAAGCTGGTTTGACATTAAGGCTGTTGATAATCCTGAGGTAAAGTTTCTTCATGTTGCCTCTGCTCACATTTTCTTCTTAATTATTTTACAATTTCCTATAGCCTTTTCAAGAGGGTGAAATGTGCAATTGCTGTAACTGCTTAAGCAGGCTCTTCCTCCTGACATGGCATGGCAATTATTTCTGAGAGAAATTATTAAGAGTGTGGCCTTTAATCAGAGAAAGAACACGTAGCAGAGAACCCAGTGAGGATGGTTCTGAGAGTCTGCTAATTGTGTGAGGGTAGCCAGGCTTACGAAGACAGCATGGCGGTATCTGTGATTTCCGAAGAGGGAGGAAGTGATTCATAGGGTGTGAGACTGAACCCTAAACAGGACGGCATTCTGCACTTTAAAATTTGACCAGGGCGAGATTTACTTTTTGAAAAGGGCCATTCATTTAAAAGCAAGTTAGTGGCCTGCTTCAATAATCTAAATTAGTTTAACACACGTTGGTGACATTATTTGGGCATTTTTCACAATTATTAGAGATAACTCACTTTTCTCTGTAGACTATAGGGTCAAAAGCAAATTAAATCAATGGATTTTCTTCCTTCGGTCTTTTCAATGAGCCGGAAGTTATCGGTCAAATGTGCTCATGACCTTTTCTGCTTAAGCTTAAAAACCCAAACAACCTGTTGGAAAGACATTTTGCCAATCTGATTATTTTCTCTGTACTAATTGGTTTTATTTCGTCATTGAATTGAATGAATTGCCTGGTCATTTTGTCACCGTGGGGACAGAGTTTGATCCCCTTAGAGTGATCACTTGTGCTCTGCACACCGTGGAGCCCGTAAACATGACGGCCATTGCTAGAGCTTCCTGAGGATGGCTCACAGGGCTGGAAGTCCATTCCGAGTCCATCCACTTTCTCCACTTGCCTTACACTGCCTTGGCTGAGACAGGGCATCTGGACCCCCAGACTACCCCAGTAACCTTGGACCTGGCTCCCTCCTCTTAGCCCCTCTCCCTTCTGGTCCACTCCAGGTAGAAGTGTATGCCTTTGAACAAATGAAGACCTATACCTGAGACACTGGCTTTCTCCTAAGAAGCCATTCATACCCTGAGCTGGGGGGGTCCCTGCTGATGTCCCTCCTGCTAGCTCATCCCTGTTCCTTTTCTCCTGACCCTCCTTCCACATTGGCATCACTGTGTAGCTCCAGTGTTTTAACCCTCAGGTTCGCTCCCAGTAGGAATGCATCTGTTGTTATTCCTTCATCTGGAATGCCCTTTGGAGGCAATGTAATTACTGCCCATGCTCTGAAATGCTCCTATCATTTGTCATTGCTAGCTAATACTTTCTCCACCTTTATTGCTAGGGCCTTGGTCACTTGCTGTATTTTGTTCTGTCTCCAACACTCCCTGACCTTTACACTCTGTGACATTCCCACCCTCTCCCTACTTTCTTCGTGAGTCCAGCACGATCTAAATTTTATTTATTGTTATTTTATTATGTGTATGAATGTATTGCCTGCATGTATGTAAGTGCACCCCTGCACTGCAGTGCCCATGGGAGTCAGAAGAGGGCATTGGAGTCCCCTGGAACTGGAGTTATAGATGGTTGTTAATCACTTTGTGGGTGCTGGGAACCAAACCCAGGTCTTCTGCAAGAGCAGTCAGTGCTCTTAACCACTGGGCCATCTCTCCAGCCCCAGAGTCCGGTATAGTCTAAAGCACCCATCTCCGTCCATACCCTTTCCCTGATTCCTCTGTCCCTATTGTAGCAGATCCCTAGAGGAATACCCAGGGCCACCTTGCTTCTGTTCTCCTTAGAGTCCTCAGGATACCAGTGCCAGCTTCACTGAAGGGACCCAGGTCACACTTGAGCACAGAGGAGAGGGGTCTCAACACCTGCTCCTGTATCATTAGACAGCTCCCTCTCAGGGATGGACCACTGACAGGCCACTGAAGAAGCACTCTTTCCAAATCTTTGTGCTTCTGTCAGTTTTTAAACTGATTTGCTCAGAATTGGTGTGCTGAGTAGCCTAGTACCTGACCCAGGGAAACAGAAGTCTACTTTTTGTTGTTGTTTAAAATAAAGGGTGGAGTACTTGTATACAGCCTTACTTTCTTTTAGAAACCCAGGAGAATTTAGGCAAGGATCATGCTTGCAGTGTGCCCGTGAGAAGATGGTTCTGAGAAGTGGTACCGGGTGTGGAAACCAGAGGACACCTGGTATTATTCCTCCATCTTGGGTTTCTGAGGCATCACTATCTCGGTGGCTTGGGGGCTTCCGGATTGGCTAGGCTGGATGCCCAGCGAGCCCCGGGGATCCTCCTGTGTCCACTTCTCTGGCGTTGGGATTACCAGAGTGTGCCAGTGTGGTTTACTTAGCTTTTAGGTTTCTTAAATGAACAGTGTGGCCAGATGACGAGGCCTGAGTCGGAAAACTACGTGTGAAGGGCACTAAACTGAGTTTTTCGCCCTTTTATTTTTCTTTCTTCCTCCTTCCCTCCCCTCTCTCCCTCTTTCTCTCCCCCTCCTCTCCTTCCTTCCTTTTATTTTTAAAATGGGAAAAAATAACACACCAAAAATTTAGACTGTCCAAAGGGATATCTCTAAGGAACTCTAATGAACCTTTAGATAGTTTGATGATCTGGGGGTGATTTTAATAAGTCAATAGAAAGTTAAATAGAAGAGGTGAAGGAGAAACCTCAGAACCAGCTCCGAGGAAAACAGTTTTGTCACAAAGGCAATGCAATCTTAGTTATACAGGGCTTGGTGCTGACAGCCATGTCCTAAGCAGGATGTGGGCTGAACAGGGCGTGAAGTCAGGGACACACAGGTAGCTGGAGAGGATGGAGGGGCGACTAGGGTGATGTGTACAAGGAGGTTACGGTCTTGGAGGGGAGAACCTTAGAGGAAAAGCTACCCAGTTCTGGCCTCAAGGGAGGTTCTAGGGCTCTGTCAGGGCTGAGATCACAGCCATCTCCAGAGCTGCACTGACAGAAGCAGGAGGGAGGGAGACAGACAAATGCAAAATGGGGAGGGGCAGGGGAGACTGGCTTTCCTAATGAGTAGAAAGGTTCGTCAAATTCTGTGCGTGTGCAACTTTAATCAGAATAAGGGCAAATTTGAAAATGTGCCCAGTGCTTTCTCCAGTGAACCAGGCCCTCTGGGGTGCCCTCCTCAGCCTGTCTCATGATACAGCCTTGGAAATCCTGTGGTCCTTTTGACCTCACCCTGGGACTCCTGAGGAAATGGAAGAGAGAGGAAGGGAGGGATGAGGGGGAGGTGGATGGGTGTGCCATGGTCTATCTCTTCCCTTCTCACCACGGACACAGCCACTCCAGCATCATAAACGTCCGCCTTGTCCTGAGGCGTGACATGTCCGAGGTGTCCTCACCCAGGGTCTGGTGCAGTCTCTATTCTCACCACCTGGCTTCAAAGCCAGAGCATGCGAGCTAGTGGAGGATGGCTCTGGGGAGAACAGATGTCACATGAAACACCACTTACAATGCGTGTGGCTTAGGTAGTGTACTCTGGGAGTTAGTTTTACCATTTCTTTCCTTGGCGGAATTGAAGACGATGTTTGGTGAGTATGAGTTGGTTGGAGGTAAATGGAGCCCCAGCACACACTGGGTGAACTGAGGGTGGTGGAGACGGGGGCAGCCTCCTAGGATATTCTGGACTCACTTCATGATTCCAGACGTATGTGAATGTGTCCCCCTCCTTCAGGTCTAAGTGTGCCAGGAGACCCTTCTTGTACCGGCACAGAATTGTCCACTGGCCATGGGAGTGGAAGGAGGGAAGAAGACAGCAGCAGATGGATATCAGAACCTAGCTGTCCTACCACAAGCCCAGAGACCAGCAGGGAAACAGAGAGATCGACTCTGGAGGTGGGAATTCTGTTCTGAGGTGCAGCCACCTCTCTGTTGTCTAGGCAGCTGCCTTCGTTTCCCTGTAGTCATTCCCCATGTAACAAAATGTGTTGGTTTCCTGGAGCTCCCCAGCATAGAAAACCCATCAGGCAAAAACCCCCCCAAAAACCTTCCAAACGTTCTACACCAAAACGTTAGTGAACTTTGGACCTGGAGAGATAACTCAGTGAGTAAAAGCAGTTGTCCTGCAAGTGTGAGGGCCTGAGCTCAAATCACCAGAACCCACGTAAAAACCGAGTGCATACTGTGAGAGCCTGTTACCCCAGCCCTCCTACAGGCAGATGGGGGGGGAGGACAGGAGGTTTCCCAGAAGCTCATGGGCCAAGCCTGGTGTCACAGTGACAGCAGAGACCCTGCCTCAAACAAGGTGGAAGGCAAGGACCAATGCCTAAGCTTTTTCTCTGACCTCTACACAGGTGCCCTGGTGTACACATGCCCCCCCCCACACGCACACACACACACAAATTGGCCAGCTCTGGCTGTGAAATTGTTGGGATGGTTCTTGATGACCTATTGGAAATCCAGCTCCATGAGTAAAGTCCTACCTTAGCTAAGAAGCTGTCGACTGATAGACATTACTGTTACGAGAAATCACCCCCAGGCTGATCACGAAACTCTGTGTTGAGAAGCAAGTAAGATACTAATACAAACTATACTTAGAAAGACTGTAATCTGGAAAACTTCACCACACAGTACCGTGAAAACTCATTTTAGGGTGCTGACTGGAAAAAGGAAGTACAGGACCGGTTGGGTGATGGAGTGGCTTTGCTTCATACAAAGTCACATAAGAATAGACAGCTATGCTAGCAACCTACTCTGTACCAATAAGGAGCTTGACTGGAGATAATACACTGATTAGCTATCAATGGAAGCCTCCTGAGGACGTCCACGCTCAGGGAAGAGGCCTTAGCACCTCAGGACCTTGTTTCAGCAAGGACCATGTTTCTGACCACATTTTTCTTTGTCCCAATTAACCTTTCCCCATTATTTCTTTGCCTTTGTGCTTGCAGGATAATTCTTCATCTGCTGGGGAACATAATGACCGTTCTCAGGAGAAGGACCCTGCTGATGGGTCAGAACTGTCTCTGCAGTCTAATAGGTGCTTGGTTGTAGCTAAGGAAGACCTTCCGTCCCAGGGCAAGGGTCTTGATGTTGGACTGCTGGGGATGAGGCCACTGCCCTCCCAGGATCAAGTCTCCATAGATCCCAAACTGTGCATTTCCCCAGATGTTCTGGAGCCTTCTTCCTTTGGGCCCAAGGGAACATTTGCCTGTCCTGACACTGCTCCCTCTGTGGCGGCCATCTTTGTTTCTGCGGGGATGAGAGCCTTACACACAAGGCTGGGAGGGGACAGTGCAGAGTCCTGCACCCCCCAGACTCTGGCAGAAGGCTCCCCAGAGAGCAGAGACGTGGCAAAGAGCAGAGCACAGGCACGCTTGCCAGGGAGACCATCCCCTAGACAGAGGTCACCTGGAAAAAGTCACTTAGAAATACCAGCTTCAAGACCGAGTTCACCCACCTCAAATCAAGAGGAAGAAAAACTCCAGGTGGATTTTCCTTCGAGGAGCCAGTACGGGAGCAGAGATGTGGTCATCCAGTGTAGTGTTTCAGGACAGGAGAGTGGGATGGGTCGAACATCGGGCTTGATCACCCTAAAGGGTCACGCGGCTCTTTCTGATCAAGAGCCTTCCGAGGTCCCAGAAGCTCCTCTGAGATCCATCCGGAAGAGGAGTTTGGAAGGCATGAGGAAACAGACTCGGGTAGAACTCAGCGACACCAGCAGCGATGATGAAGACAGACTGGTCATAGAGATATGATGCTATTCCAGAGAAGGGCTGCAGCCATGGCCAAAGACAAGAGGTGCTCTGAGACAAACAGCACAGAGTGGAAGATGCGCTGAGCTCTATTTATGAAAACTCTGTAGACCAGGAAAGCCATCTGAGATTCCTTCAAGCCAACTCCAGCCCACACCAAGTCCCAATTCAGCCAAATCCTTCCTCTTGGGTAGACTTGGTCACATTCATCTGGGGCAGGAAGTGCAAAGGTAGCCAGAAAGTACCATCTCAAAGAAGCTCAGTCACTGCGGTGACTCAAAGTGGACTGCGCACAGCTTCACCCTAGTCAGGTGGCACTGATCAGAAGAGCCACATTCGGGATGGCTACTGACCAGTGAGACCCCATAGAGTCAAGGCAACAGGTTTCCCCATCATGAGTTTGCTTCAGGGCGGCTGGAACATTTTGGGTCTTGAGGGTCGCTTGCGCAAAGGGATGGGGTGTGAATTGAATTGGACTTCAAAATCATGCTGTGCGTTTGGAGGACTAAATTCAGATTCTCTCAAAAACTGGTCAGAGCCGGTCGTCTCCTTAGTGAACGCTGTAAATACACATCACAATGCCTATGGCCCTTTTAAATGTTGTACAAATGGTTAATATTAGTTTCTGGTCCAATAATTCAAGCACGTACTGCCCCTGTACCTGGTGCCTTTTCATTGAGACCCCTAAGATATTGTTTTTTTTTTCTTTTTTCTTCCTAGCTCCTGACTTGTGTTAAAAGTCAATAAAACAGTCTCTGTAATGAGTATTTTTTTTTTTTTTTGGAGGGGGAAATACACTTATTTTCCTCTGACTCTTTTTGTCATATTGTGTGCTGAGCAATTTCAATTAGAGGGTTACATTTTAGTAATCTGTGCAGCGGAATTGATGCCTGCTCCTCATGACGGGAGCCTCTTAGACTTCCTCCAGAAGCTTCAAGGATACAAAACTAATTGGAGTTTTGACGCTGTTTTACATCTCAGTAATTTTATTTTGGGGGCTTGGTGTTACTTAGCTGTCAAATTAAACCAGCTTTTGTATTGCACAAATCAGAACAGCACAGATCAAATTCCCTAGTATTTCAAGCCGGTGCACCCCTTTGCAGAGGAAGACCGCAGATCCACACCAGCTGGCCCACCAAGCAGGCCTCAGGTCCCCCGCCTTCCTCTCCTTCTCCTTAAACAGGCAAGGAGGAACTTCAAGAAGTTTATATTGCTGCATCCCCATCAAATTTTATACTTGCTTTCGGTAAGATTTTGTACAATTTGAAGTTTCTAGCTGAGCTTTTAGCTTAACTTTGAGATGATGATACTCATGAGATATCTTGTACTTCAAAGGCAAGATAACCAGGAGAACTCAAACACGTGACAATACGTCTACGTCCTTGCCCATGATGAAGTACGGTCCAATTTTAAGTAACCAGTTTTGCTGTTGGTCATTGAAAGCTTCAGTGCACAACTGGCTTCCCCTAGTCTTTAGACAAGGTTAGACATTCACTTAACACACTAAGCAAGCGAGAGTGGTGTGGTGATTGGTCAGAAAGGCTGCGGGTGAGTAGGCAGGGGTCTTCGCCTGGGAAGCTGGGGTGATGGTCCTTCTCACGTGAGTTTCCCTAAGAGAGTGAGAGTCTTGGCAGACGAGCTGACTGTATCTCCCCAGCTGCATGCTAGTGAGATTAGATGATAGAGACACTGATGGCTCCCTTACAAGCGAGACTTTATGACTTGGAAATGTCCCCCAGTAGGAAACCATTGCCCCAGGGGCCTCTCATTCAAGATGTTAGTGAGGGAGCATTTTGAGGAACTGAAGCACAAACAATTTTAGGATATTACTGCTGTGTAGAATGTGAGCTTAGGGAAGCTTTATCTAGTTTTTTTTTTTCCAGAATTCCAGATTATGAAATGCGAGCACCCAACATATAAAGCAAAATTGTTACCCTACTGAGTGGAAAAAAACATACTTATAGGAAGGATTGGGTACTCTGTCTTGGGAGGTACCGGTCGGGGGAGAAAACTCCCTTCTAGATCCTTCCTTCCAGAGTGACTGTTGAGGCTCACCAGACCCAGGTCAGTAAGTCACAACTCCAGAAAGCATCATCCTCAGGGTGGACCAAGGAACTCTGCCTTCCTCTGGAGCTGGCTGCTGCCTCCCAGCCTAAATCCAATATGGCAGGATATGAACTCCACCTCTACAAAACCCCATGTCTCTTATGATGCTAAGCTTTTGCTAGACCTTCTGCTTCAGCCGGTCACATAGTGAGTGGCAATGTTCCCAAGAGTATTTTACTTGAATGTGTGAAATGCTGCACTTCAACGCATTAAAAAATTAAAAACAGGCCAGGCATGGTGGCGCATGCCTTTAATCCCAGCACTCGGGAGGCAGAGGCAGGCGGATCTCTGTGAGTTCAAGGCCAGCCTGGTCTACATAGTGAGTTCCAGAATAACTGGGGCTACAGGGAGACCCTGTCTCAAAAAGACCAACAACAACAAAAAAATTGAAAACATATATTGAATGACCCCAGGAGAGCTAGCTACTGAGAGACATCTTAAAGTAAGGTTCGGTTTTGCTTTGTTTTAATGGAAAACCCTTCAATAAAACAATAATCTCTCATTTTTATAAATCTAATTTTTCTATGGATTTTTCTTAAAATGAAATGCAATTATAAGAAAACATTTCAAGGGCACCATCAGTAACCCGGAGCCCAGCTTAGGCTATTAAAAACAAAACTTCAGTATTATCAACTGATCTTTGCTGCAGTCTGACATACTACAAGTACATCCTACAGGATGATTCAGGGGAAACAAATTTACTTTGGGTGTTGAGCTTATAGTTCTAGAGGGTGCGCTCTGGCTTAGCATGCATGAGACCCTGGGTTAAGTTCCCAGCACCCCACATAAAAATATTTTGCAGTGAGGTCAGTGTACTGTTTTCCCAGTACTCCTGAGACTGTTACATCTTCAAGTCTTAACCAACTGGTGCCTCGACTTCCTCCAGAGAGAGTAGCTCCAGGGGTCCCGGCATAGACTGTGGTGAAGGGAACTTTGGATTCTTTGCCAGGCTCTCAGGGCAAAGTGTGTGAAGGCCACTGCTCACGGCGCCTAAGACTGACCGTTGACTCATCTCCTTAGTGCCTCTCTGCCTGGCCACATCTTAAGATGGACGGAGGAACCCCCCCACTTGGCAATGTAAATCATTTACTGACTCTTCAAGTCATGTGGGAATTTTTGTAGCCAAGCTGACTAGAGTCCATTACAACCTCCCCTGCCTAAAAGCCCTCTCCTGGAGCAGGCCTCTGAAGGAAGCTGAGCCTTGCAACAGTGTGTTGTGTCCACAGTCCTCGGCATGAGAGATAAATGATTCTCAGTCTCATGCCAAAAAGTAGTTCCTTGCGTTTACATTCATTACTTAGAATGATCACATTATTCATTTTTCCCTCAACATAGAAATTTGCATTTTGCACAAAATTTGCCCGGCGCAGCAGATTTTTATAGTTATGGGAATTCTGCTCAGCTCCCCGCCATCATTTAATAGAGGGAGGAGAAAACGGCCCTCCTGGGCTCCAGGACAAGCGTATTTCTACTACAGGGCCAGTGGGACTGGCACCTTCTCCCTCACTCCAGTTGTTAGCCCTCCATTTGTGTGAGGGAGACACTATGCTTCTCAGTTCTCAAGTACAGTTCCCTGTCTTTCAAAACTCATTAAACATAGGTGTCGGCCTCCAGAACAATCGAGGACTAAGCTTGGATGCTGCGACTACTCTTACCCACGCTTTGTACCAACGCGGCGAAATGTACAACTTGGTCTGAAGGAACGCCAGAACACATGAGCACGTTATGTCACCGCAGGGAGAAGAGGGGCCAGGGCAAGAATCAGCTTTGGCCACTGGGGGCCCAGAGAGCGGCTCACTAGTTGCACATGCAGGTGTCTTGGGCAGGACTGATGCTCCAAACCCTTTGGGATCAGGGAAACGCTTGGCTTCTTGGTGGGTGAACTCCCCCCCTTCTTTATATGGTTAAATTATTTTGTTTTGATAAAAATAAAACTTAAAAATGAAAATGTCTTGTGTGATTTGTTAACATTTTAACCCAAACCATCATGGATGATAACATCCTGTAAGATGTCTTCTGATTATCCCCAGCTCCTTAACCAGATACTCTCTGTCCACTATATTGGAATCCCAGAGTGAGGTAATGGTAGTCAGCCTCTCTTCTGCTGGGACTTGTCCCCATGAGTCCTCATTTGTCACAATCAGCCATAATTTATAGTTTGTACCTTAGAAATGCACTTTAACTTCTTAAATGTAGTTCAACTTTGAAGCCCCATGGTGCAATAATCTAAAACTTCCTTCCCCCCTTGGAATTGATGTTTCTTGGAAATTTAATGTTATTCATCAGCAAAGAAACCATTCTTATATCAAAATTGTACCTCCTTATGATAATAATGCATGCACTCATTGCGAGAGTAAGTAGATTATTTTCCAACCCAGCCTATACACCTCTTGAAGCCACTTGATGTTGGTTGGTTCAATGCACTGAGAGAGAAAAAATGGGAATATACTAATTGATGGCTCTTAACTGCTTTTTTCCCTAACTCATCAAACTCTATAAGAAATTAGTCCATCATTTCCAAACTCAGTCCTTCAATAACCCTCTCAATGCTCTTTTTCATATATATCAATGTGACGCATGTGGACATATTATTCTTTACTAAAACCTTTTACTCAAAGACTCTCTACAATAAAGAGATGACTGCTTTAAACAGTATCTGTCAAATATCTCAAGTCTAGTGTGCTGGTATATATTCTGATATATATTGAAACATAACAGCTATTAACATTGTTCATCCACGTGCCACTTAAAATGCCTTTTTACCACCAATGGTTCCCTTGTTGCAGTCGGTGAAACAGAGAGAGAGAGAGAGAGTCCAAAAGCTGCTTGTTACGGTGGAACACCTATGATTCCGGATCAAAGGGATCATCCTGTATTATCCTGTTGTGTGACTATGGCTGGTTTTTGTTGTTCTTTATGCAAAGGAGCTACAAGGACAGTCTAATCGGGGATCACGCCCATCAGGGATCATGCGCATGAGCCACACAGCAGACAGAACTTCCGTGCTCCCTCTGCTTCCCACGTGAAGCAAATGGATTTGCTTACAAGCAACTGTGGAGTGCAACTCTTCAGCCTCCTGCTTGCTGGCAGCATGTGGATATCTGGGCCGTGAATGCTCATGGCATCTGGGGCCTCTGTCTCCCACTGTGGCACACTTATTTTCCATTTCCCTCAGCTTGTGCCGGAGGCGAATTCAATGTCCTTTATCACGGAGCATCCTAGGGCTGGTTCATGGCGCTCTCAGCCTGGGAGTTGGTGGATTATCCTTCTGTGCCCTGTGTGAGTGAATGATCCTTACGGGGAATGAGTGTTTCATAGGCGTAGTGCTGCACGGAGAGACCCAGTCTTGCTTTTGGCCACAGGGTCTTGTTGTCTTTGGTGCAGCAGGGTATAAAGAGGCACGGGCCTCTTGACTCTTGTAAATAAAAGTTCAGATAGCCAGCCTTCAATGTTCTTTCTTTCTTTTTTTTTTTCCCCCCTATATTGTGTGTGAACCACAAGTACCGGTGCTCTGATTCAACACATTTATTCTAAGGAACCTGGTGTGTGTGTGTGTGTGTGTGTGTGTGTGTGTGTGTGTGAAAGACTACTTGAAGACCTACTCAAAAAACCCTCCTGTTATTGAAATTAAATACTATTGGAGCCAACG